GCAATGCATTTAAAGGACATCTCTCCATCAAATTTCAAGGTTTTAACGGTACCTTAAAGCAGGTCTATTATGGGCTTGGAGAGCAGTGGACGTGACAAGTGGGGTCTCACAGGCTACTGATGACATGATGGAGCCTCTCCACACCAGGCCAAGGCGCCACTCTGGGCAATTGTCACAGACTCATGGGTTTGCTCTGCCTCTTGGTTTTGCTGTCATCTCCCTGGAATCTTGTTCTGTCCTGGGGCCAGGATATCTGCACTTGGCCTTTCTATTTGCAGCCTTCCGATTCTTCCTTTATCCTTTAGAACTTTCTCCTCCCTCTGTCCTGAGCTCCCTTAATGCCTCTGGTTTCCTGAGTAAGAAACACACTGTCCCACCCACTGGATCCACTCCCTTCCCCACTGAGAGGAATGGAGATAAGTGGTTCCTCCACTTAAACTCTGAGCTACAGGTGCACCTGCACCCATTGGCATTCGTGCTCCTGCCAATCACTGCTGAAGGGCTCCTTTTTTCCACTTTTCCATTCTATAGGCAGCTCATTGTAAAAGGGTCTGTTTATATGCCACCTTCCTCGGGTGTCTGACTGGTATTGACCCATCAGTCATTTTCTCTGAGGCCTGCTTGCATAGATAGTAGATTTCATCAGTTTAGACCTCAGCTGCTCCACATTCACTTCACATAGATTGACCTTGGCTCTCTAAACTATGTCATAAGCTCCTCACAGAAGTAGAAACAAAGCGCGCGTGCTACAGGTATTTTTCCCAACCTTGTCCGTGTAATGCCAAGCACACTACTGGGAGTTATCTGTAAATGCCTGATGATTAGTTCTCACAGCTGCAGCTTTTCATGATGGTTCATATATATCAGAAAAGCATTAATTTTTTTGATATTAAGATGCCCAGTAATGCCATCAGATCACGTTAAGGAAATTTTCATTATTACTAGAATTATTAATGACATCTTTCTCCTCACAGAGACCCAACCCAAATTATATCTTTATGATTACAATCAGTTTTAACCCCTATTAGGCTCTGCTCTGGTGGCCTGATAATCAGAAATGGAACCTTGTCATGGAGGTCAATATGTAATTGTCTGGCCAATGCTAAATGTAGCCAGGGGCACCCCACACCCAGTGGCCAAGCCAAAGGTGTAAATGATGTTTTTGACACTGGTGAAAAGTTTAATGGCCACTGTTCTCAAACTAAGAGCTGATCAGGAATGGTTCAGTTTATAACTCAGCTTTAGAAAAATCAAAAGAGGAGCACATAGATCTTGTCATTTGACTTCAGAGACTCCCTGTCTCCTGCAACAGTACAAACAATGAAAGAGTCCTATTATGCATGGCCATGACTGAAGTCATACACTCTGATGTCCTCTGAACTTAGAATTTTCTTCAGAACAGCCCATCATCTGGGTCCAGTCCCTGCAGTTCAAGGAGCAGGTGATCTCTTCCTGAGTGTCTACGTCTTTGCATACCTGCATTATTTTTACCTTCTTACCTTTGACCTTTGTGTATTAGAGGTAGTCTGTTGCTCTAGTTTGAAGGATAATTTAGAAATCAAAAGGTTAATATTTATCTAATAATGACTTGCCCCAGTATTTTATCTTTACAACTCAAATTAACATAGTGTCTATTTGGATCTGGAAGAAAAGCCCTAAATTAGAAGCCCTTCAAAAGTACCTAATTAGACTAGAGTTGTTGCACTTTCTGCAAAATGAAGCAATGTGATCTTTTCGGCATTACATGAGCAGTTGTTTGAGTCTTTTATCAGATCAGCTTTCTATTCATGCCAAGGAGAGTCATTCACTTTGTGCAAAAGTGAATTGGAAGATTAATAAGGGGCAGAATGCATACACATGGATTTATGAGCATTTAAAAATAATTTTGTGTCTTTGTATATGTACACTTAATGAAAAAAAGGAGATCCTCACTTACTCTGGACAGATTACCTTAGGAGAGAGATTTAAATGTTTGGTTTCTTGATTTAAACTTAGGTAAGTTTGACAAAAGGAGGGTTGTAGGTCTCCCTGGGAACTATAATAAACTTTCAGTACTTTATTTCAGGAAAAAGTCCTCAGCCTATCATGCTCATTGCCTTAGGGGCCTGTTGACCTCTCTTTAACCATGAAAATGTACTACAGACCCAGAGCTGTTAGGGCAGCAGGCAGAGGGCTCAGAGCTGATTTAGAAAATGCCAGCTCCAGGAAACAGGTCTGCCTTCTGACTGTACAAACAAGAGTCACAATCAAGCCCTCGAATCCTGTGATTGCCATGTTTATTACCTGTATTGGAAACATAAGTATGTGTGCTTGTGTGCATTGTTTTACAGGTACATAATTTGTTGAAGTGGATTTATTTTGTACTTTTGAGAGATAGCATGCTCCCAGTCATAGAAACAGAAACCAGGCTAGATATGTCAAGCAGGAAGGGGTTTAATGAAAGGAATTGGGTTTGAGCTATTTTGGAAGGGCCAGAAAAGCATGAGGGGAGAGGTCAGGAGGGACAACTCCTGCAGAGCCCCTGCCCTGCTCTGTGGCATCACTGTGATGGTGACTCATATTCTTTTGCTCCATGTGGGTAGGGAGTGGTTAGAAACACTAGCTAACTTCTGCAGCTACAAACTTTTGTTATCACTGCCAAGGTTAGAGTTGGAGCTGCTGCCACGGCCAGAAGCAGAATACCCCCCTTGCTTTCTGATCTTGATCTTGTACTACACACACAGCCTCCCCCACCCCACCCCACCAGAACATGAACAGAACCCTGCTGGCAAAGGATTCTGGGACATATAGTTTCCACTCCTCCAGTCTCTGGGATGCAGAACAAAACACGGAGGCTGACCATATGTGGTCCAGATGGCATCATAGTACTTTAGGAAATGTTATCAAAGTGCTTTAACCACTTAGACATGTATTTTCAATTAATTTTATTTTTAATATGAAGTATGAAAAAAATCCTTTTGACCATTTCTCTTATGGGAAAGTGAAAAAGAATCAGTTTTATATTAAAGAATATTTTGTGGTTTTAAGAGTATTTGTGGGGCATTTTAATGTATAGGATTCAAAACAGCTGAACAACTTCATTAAAAGGGTAGCTCTTGCCGGACCTTCCAGTGTGCCTGTATCCCTAGCAACCCAGTTATCTGAAGTACAGCTGGAGGAAGCAAATTCTACTCTGTGGAATGATATTTGACCCTGGTTAGTACTTTTCTGAAGCAAAATGTTTTCTCTGGCAGTTAAATAACTTGCTTGGTTTCTAAGAATTTTTGTACTTTCATTTCAGTTGCATTCTTTACATGTTTAATTCCAATGAGAGATTATTTCAGCTAGGTATCGGCAAGCTTTTTTAAAATAAAATTGTTGTGCCTTAAGAAACCAGTACCTGCATTAATGATAAAACTTTGAAGTTACCATGACTATTATTACTATGCATATCTGTAGCTAATTTTACTTTAAACTTCGTAAATCTCAGCAACTCTGTCAGGTGGGCCAGCTACTACTGCCACCAATTTTTTTCCCAACTATGTTAGGTGATGAGTCCTTAGCTATAGAACTAAGACAAGGAGTAATGTTCTGTAAGTAAACGTGACAGTTTGCTTGTGAATCTGTATTTGTGAGACTACTCAGAGTTCCTATTCCAACAACATTAATTTTCTCATCCTGCTACGGTCTACAGCAGTGGGCTTCAATTTGGGGCCAGCATGCCTTTGGAGGGATGCAAAAGCGGCCACAGGGTGGAGGGCCTGGGTGCCTTGAAACGAATCCATTGCAGAGCCTCAACTTGTCTTTGTCCCAAATGGATCTGCCTGAGAATATGCATATGATGAGGCCTCCTGCTTGGCAAAGGGAATCCTGCCTCCTGCTGTGATGCACTGACCTGGGGTTTTAAAGCCTCTGGGGAACCAAACAGTGGGGCAGTTTGAAATATTGGTTTGGGTATTAAGAAAGGAATGAAGAAAGTAAAGGACCCTAATGACTTGACTGAACAACTTTTTGTAAATCTGCTGGTTTCATTTCTTTCCTTACAGCAAGATTGTGGGAGGACTTAAACGGCATGTTGGCTAATAGAAAAGTCAAAATTATTTGATGGATAGATGGTTGTATGAATCTTGGCATATATCTGAGAAGGGAGCAAAAGAACGTGGGAACATTGCTCTAACAAAACCCTCTCCATTCCCATTAATTTACTGATGCAGATGAGGCGTCTTGGCACATAAATTTATAAAAATGTATAACAGGAATAGAACTGATGTGGAACCCTAACCTGTTCTAATGATAAGCAGTTTTCATCTGCAGATTACATGAAACAGCTAGAAACCCAAGGCTTTCTTACATTCTTCCAACAAAATTCTACTCCTGCGTGATAATTATTTTTCAAAATTCATCATATTTTGTGTTTTTATCAAGTAAGGTCTAAAAATAACTGTAATTATAGCCCAATCAAAAAGGATTCAAATATTTATAGATATGGGCACAGGAAAAAAAATTTTTAATTAAATGTCAATTTACATACACCATTTATTACACACCAAAATATTTATTTACCTCACCATTAACACAATACATATTAACACAAAACACAATAAAACATTTTCTGCATAAAATATTAGAATATAAGTATGCCAGAATGAACATAAGAATTCAAACAGAAAAAATACTGACACAGTTGAGACTTTTGAAGAACTTGTTTTTAGAGGATGATGGTAAAAACCAAATGTCTATGGCATTAGACTCTTGGATACAGCTGAAGAATGATGTAACATAATTTTAAAAGGTCAGTACATATAGTGTACTGGAAATTACATCCTTGGCAGTTATTGAAATTAACAAAGAATACATTTATATATCAATGTAAAAATATGCATGTGATACATTTTTAACATTTATTTAAAGACTATATGAGCCCAGATGTTTAAAGATCACGGATCTAGCTAGACAAAGGATCAGGTATCTTGTGGATGAGCATTGCCGCATCTTCCATGCATTTCCTTCTTTTTCCCCAGTTTGACCTCGTGTGTGGCAACGCGTGGATGCTGGACTTCACACAAGCCATCCTCAACCTGGGCTTCCTGACTGGAGCGTTTACCTTAGGCTATGCAGCAGACAGGTAGGTCTGGAGAGGACTGCCATTTGACATCACCAGAATATGATGTACACATGCGGAGATGAATATGTTTTATGTCAACTAATAGAAAACTATTCTTGCTAACTTTGGGGAAGAAAAATACTTAATTCCTCTAATCATGACTTTCATACTTTTGGCTGGACGAATTCTTCCTTCTTAAACTGCATCTCCTTATTCTTTTAACTGTACAAGTGGGTGGGGCTGCTCTCAGTGGGTCTGTAAGGGTCTGAGTGGAAACAGATCAGCAACACCAGGCAGTGACTTTATGGCGGGCTGACGGCTGGCTGGCTGGACACTGCCAAGTTGATTCCATGTGCTTCAATAATTTACTGGCTATGGTTTGGTTAATTTAGTCATGAATTACCCTTTAGTTGTCCCCTTCCAACTTTGTTTCATCTAATTTTTAAAAAAGAAATTCTTATATTTTATTCTACAAATTTAAAACAAAAAAAAAATACAGTCCTTTCCAAAAACCATTACAAGAGTTTTTTCTGTTATCTAACATTCATAAATATGCCAGTTATTGGCAGACACAGTGAGTGTGTATATTCAGGAGAGTCATGTTTTCCATTCAAATATTCCTGTTTCAGACACTGTTGATTTTGGTTATTGTATTCATGTTGAACTATTTCTTTATCCCAATTCTAACCATGAAAAGACTTGCAGTAACTTAGTAATCCCTCTATACCCCTTCGGACAAGGACAGGAGAGCTTGGGTCCTTGGCTGTGTCTGAATGAATGTTGTCTGGTGACTCCAGCCCCACCTGGGTGGGTCCCTGTGACCATGCTTGCAGCAGATAGCACTAAGGGTACCGCTTCAGGAAAAGCTGACAGTGATTACTTAGCTCATTTAAGACAGTACAAGACCCAAATCTTGCAGCCAGTTGATAATCTGAGTTTGACCAGATCAGGACTTCAAAATGGGCAGAACCTTTGGCTTCTCTTTCTGCCCCTCTGCCTCTGCCTATCTCTTATTTTCCTCTTGCTGCTCCCCACACCCTGCTCCTGCATGTGGCATTTTCCTCGACCCTCTTGCCTCGGATGCTTTTCCCCCTTTCCCTCTCTTCATCTGTGTTTTTGTCTACTGTTTCTACTTGTAGGCCTTTCAATTCCCTTTTCCTTTCTTTATCTTCCACATGTGCCCCTTGCTCTCCTGGCCGGTGTGTTTTTTATTTGAGCTGTGTATTTTCAACATGTATTTCTTTAGGCTTTGCTTCTTCTGAATGTTTCTCCTTCACTATCAATCAACTCTTCTCCAAACTCAAGGGACTCCGCTGATAGAGGGGTGCTTTTCCTTCCTACCTATGTTCAAGGAGGGGACTGAGCATCTGTCCTCAGAGATGACTTGGTGCTTTTGCAGAGGAAGACAGACATGTGAATAATTCTGCCCTTCCTCAGAGCCAACCATCCTTGTCTCCTTTATGTCCCTGAAGGAAAGAACAATTGAATGAACCACATTTCTATGAGAGGACAGTGTGGGAAGGATGAAGAGTGAATTGATAAACCCAGATAGACCAAGACTACTTTGGCCTCCACTCCATTGGCTGAAGCAAGATGCCATATGTGTGAATTTGGTGGAAATTTCTATGGGAAGATGTCTTTGAATCAAATCTCTTAAAGGTCATTGACGACAGGCTTTTATCAGCCAATAATTTGGCACAACTCTATTGAATCATTTATCATCAGACTCTCAGAATATTGTGCTTGATAACCTGTGCCCTTCCCTAAGCTATTTATAAGTCACATGAATGGTGACAATAATCCAGAGCTTAAGGACAACTCACACTGGTTATGAACTTTATCATTTGTAAGGAGCTTCCACATTAGCATCTCATTTGAGTCTTTACTCAGTAGAAAACTCACTGTAGAAAAGGTGGGAAAAAAAAGAAAAAAAGAACCCCAGCAAACACAGTCGCATGGCTAGTGGGTGATTGAGCCGGGACTGAAGCCCAGACCTTCTGGCTATAGTGACTATTTCTACTTCTTTCTCTTCTTTTCTCCTCTGACTCCATTCACCAAAATGCTGGGAAGTGTCAAAGCTGTGCCACTGGGGAGACTGTATGTGAAAAAACACTGTAATGGAGAAGGGCATCTTTTTTGGAAACTGCAATCCCAAAGGATGCCTTTTGTGCTTTAAATTTGAATTTAAATGTCATTTCAGAGGCACATGTTTTTATTTGCTCTGATTTTGCTATAAAACATAATGGAGAATTGTCTTCAATCCTTCACAGGGTAATAATGAAATTACGGAGGATGGCATAATCAAATTTCTGTACTTAAACCTCTGTGAACAACATGTACAATGATAATCTCTTTCACTGTGTTGATGTGAACGTTTAAGGTGATCTCTTCTTGTCTCTTTCTCAAAAAGGTTCGGCAGAATAGTCGTTTACTTAATATCCTGTTTCGGTGTTGGTGTCACTGGCATTGTGGTGGCATTTGCACCAAATTTCCCTGTGTTTGTGGTCTTCCGCTTCCTACAAGGTGTGTTCGGAAAGGGGACATGGATGACTTGCTACGTGATTGGTAAGTCATTGCTATGCCTCCTTGTGTGTTTGAGAACCACAGGTAGATGGCTCAGAAGTGCCAGCTAGTCAGCCTCATGCAGGTATGGCAAGGCTCCATGGCTGGGACAGGAAGATATGGGAGCAACAATCTGACTCTTTAGAAATTAAAACACTGTCTTACTTTGGGAGACAAGTACGGAATATCACAAAATACTGGGTGAGCCACTTCTAAGCACCGCTGCGCTGTTATCACATACGGTTTCTAGCTTTGTTTTAGTAGAGACTGGTTTTATAAAAATTTCAGTAGTTCCTTGAAACATTTTAAAAGCATTTTCTGGGTAGTTTTGAGATATACTTTGAGATGACATTCCTGTGGTCTCAAATATTATTTCTTAAATACATTCCTTCCGGACAAGTGGAGAATTTTTTACCATGCAGGGATATGACCTAAAAATGAGAAGTTCATTTGTGAACTTTTGCTGTCTTCTATAGCTAGAAAGTTTGACCTTCTGGTTATGAAAAAAGAAAAAACCTCCCCTTTGCTCTTTGGTCGTATTACTGGGAAAAGTCCTGGCTGCTGCCTTTGGCTGTATTTCCAGTTGTGTCTATGATGGGCCACCTACCCTGAGAGTCTTGGTGGGTGCGGAGCAGGGAAATGCCCACAATCTTCTTCGATCACTGCTCCAGCTCTCTGAGCTTCCACTCCTACTGCTAGGCAATCTGTCCCCAAGCAGTTCCCTCTCTGGGGATCCACTGAAGGTCTTTTAATGGGCAGGGAAGGAGAGAAAGTGCTGGCAGGGTTGACTATCACTGGCTGGGGCAGAAAGGATAACTTTGGAATACAAAGCATTTTTAAGGAGACCCAAGTCTAGGTGAATTTTCAAAGCTGTGATCTTATGGCAACAATAAGGCAACATATCCAGGATGATCAGAATCAAATTAGTGACAGACAGACACTGATTAGTGGGAAGGGAGGAAGAAAAGATGCCAGCAGGAAATTCCCCCATGTAGTTCTTAAAGAAATATCACATAAATGACAAGTCCAGCACTGTGGAGAGAACTCTGTGATAGAAATCTTGTGATAGTGAAAAAATTATTTGTAGAGTCTAACATTCATACTGACTCTCCTAAAGAGAGTGTAGTGAGCAAATCTTTAGAGATACAGTGATAAAATCGAACCAATATATTATATTTCTGTTTCGATAATTACAGTGACCTTTCAAATGCCATCATTTAAGCTTTCCTAAAACCATTACGTATTTTCCTCATAAGCCCCGAGGAGTGCTGGGCTCCGTGTGGAGGAGGAGCTGCTGGCTGGCAGAGATGCGTGAGGGGAGCACCTGTGGGTGGGCAGCCCCTGCCTTGCGCCGGCACAAAGTCACCGTAGCCTTGGGTCCCGCGGTATTCCAGCAATCTGAGGCATGTGGCAGGTGTCACGTCTGTGTGTGTCTGTTTATTCTGGAGCTGATCTTGAGCTTTCCTAACTTCTGTTTGTTTTCCTTCAGTGACAGAAATAGTGGGTTCAAAGCAAAGGAGGATTGTGGGAATAGTGATTCAAATGTTCTTCACCCTTGGGATCATAATTCTCCCTGGAATCGCCTACTTTATTCCCAATTGGCAAGGAATCCAGCTAGCCATAACGCTGCCCAACTTTCTCTTCCTCCTTTATTACTGGTAATGTAGTTTTGGTCATTATTGAATTTTTTCTCATTCCATGGACATGTAGAATCTATGCTTCTAAACCAACATGCAAATGAAAGCAGTGATGGAGATTTTCCAACATCTCCAGAATGGCTGTGGGCTTTGAGAATTTCTGGAATATTGGAGAAGTCATAGAGATTATTTATCGATTATCTGACTAGTAGTTGTTATTAAAATTAATAAAATATGAAACATACCATTGTAAATAGACTATTAATTATGTTTTATCATGTTGTAACATCTTCATGAAAATGACAAGGCAACAAACCATTTCTGTCAGTATTTCAACATACAAATTAAATGCAATGAAATCAATTCATCCCTCTGTGTGTTCTATTAAGCAAATTAATATTACTCAGGAATTCTCTGAGGAATAAGAACATTTTAAGAGCATCAGAAAATCAAGTTGTCAGAAAGCCCCAGGTATATGCATTTGACTCTTACTGGATTGAACATATTTTAACCACTTCTGTAATTTAATATGTGGGCAAACCATTTACTTAAATTGGGTTTTTAACCTTTTCCTAAATGCTCACTGTATCCCAGTTCTTTTCATATGTTTAATTGAGGACACTATATTCTAGGATAGCCTGGTCTTGCAAGAAAAATGTAATATTGATTATTTTTATTATGAGTAATGATCCCATTGACAAATGAGCATTTCTTCCCTTCCATTATAAACTTCCAAAGATAATCTGTATTTCAGAGAGCCTACACTAAACTCTCAGAATCTCCTAAACTTGTATCTAATTGCAGGATCCATTTTGATAGAGAAACTCAAGTCATGAACTTTTTGGTCCCGAAATTCCTAGGTGTAACTCAGAGAAGCCTTCTTCTCAATAGGGTGGTTCCTGAATCTCCCCGCTGGCTGATTACGCGAAAGAAAGGAGAGAAAGCGTTACAAATTCTGAGGAGCATTGCCAAATGCAATGGGAAATATCTCTCGCCGAATTACTCAGAGGTAATTTTATTTATTACTAGCAACAAATATTGTTAAAGAGGGTGAGTTTATCTGTCACTTATGCCCATATTACCAAACATCTGACTAAATCATTTTTAGTTTGCCTTAAAAGAATATCTTGGGAATAATCTTAAGGTATATTAAAGGAGAAAAGATTGTGAGGTCTTAATAGCATTACCACAACGTGAATTGGCCATTTAGTCCATATTTTAGTAGTTACACCAAGTTACTTGAGTTATTATACTTTACCTACTGTAGGCACCATTGTATCTAATCATTCATACATCTTAATTGCCCCAACTGTAAATCCTTCATTGCCATTCAATTTAGTTGAAAGATTTGTTTTTAGATTTAGTCTTGGAGACACCATTTATTCAAATCAGAGGTTGAGCAGTAAAGTAATATTTTATTACTTGGGCAAAGCAAAGGCTTGTGGGGGCCTCTGCATCGCTGCACCGGGAGGAACAGGGAGCAGGAGGGGGTAAAAGCTCAACCTTTGACCTTTGGAAGACTTGATATGCAGTTGAAAACATATACATATATTTGAAGCAACCCCTGAATAATGAAAGAATAGCAATAAAAAATATGTGACAAGACTTTATCTGCAAAGACTCAGCAAATGCAGAGTAACAAAAGGATTATTATGAAAAGAATATTAAGAAGAATTTTGGGAAGGCACGAATCTTTGATATAAACCTTGAAGACTATCAGGTTGCTAACATTGTTTCTCCGTAACATTCAGTTTGTTCTGACAGAAATGTTCTGATAACCTTCCAGCCCCCCAGAACTTATTCAGATGTATTTGGATTTCTGCCTTCCTCCTTCACGCTTATATTAAGCGGCAAGCTGCAGCCGCAGTGTTTACTAAGGTTTCAACTGAGCGGTTGTCACCATTGAAATAGATTATTGATGTACCTTGAAGTTTACAGATCATAATCTACACGATAAAGATAAAACACGATCAGTTTTAAGCACTAAGACTAATCTATCCTTGTCATGCTTTGAGCAGGCACATCTGAGCTGAGTATTCCTTTTAGAGGAAAAAATATCCCACTGCCTTCTCTGCTTGCTCGCACCACATCAGCCATCTGCTTTCACAGCGGGATCAAATATATGATCATTTGCGGTCAGTTTTAATAGTCAAATGAATGTTTTGCTATTCATTCAGTAGTGTCCTAAAGACATTGCACATGTAGGCCCAGAGCTAAGCATATATAAGATCTAAATCAAGGTTTTAAGAATATAGAAAAAATAGTGTGTGCTGATGGCTTATTGAAGAAAATGCTGCATTAACTAGGCATGTTGTGTGATATCATAAGCATTGCTGAGATGCCAGAGGATGATTCCCAAAAGCAACTGCTGTTACTCATCCCATGAATGTCCAGTTCAATGCTGCTCCCACAGACCTGCTTCTCATTCAGTAGCACTGTAGAGATCGTTTCAACAGGGAAGTAGTTAAATGCTCTACATGGCTGTGCTTGTAAAAGACATGAACCTATATAGATCCAGTGGCTTATAAGACATTTTTAACTTTAGTTTTAGGCAGTTAGACAGACGGTCTCCATTTGAAAGTCAAGCTTGAAGTCAGACTTCAGTTTCTCTAGGGAATTAGCAGCCTAGCGTCTGCTGTCAGCACTAAGAGCTTAACAACATTCATCCCTTGTGATTGGCTGATTAGCCTCCTCGGCCTTCTTCAGTCTGTAGGCGCTGCTCTTTTCTTTTTCCTTGCAACTTTTGGGGTGAAGAATGTTAGGGTTGTTTTTTGTTTTTTTCTGTAGAGCTTTCCGTAGTCTGTATTTTGTTGATTACCTCTCTTAGGATCATTTAGGATCATTGTCTCTTGTATTCCCTGTAAGTTGTGGGTGGAAGGAGGCTCTATAGGAAGAAATACATGCGATAAATTTGAGTCCAGCATTCAACCAGCTGGACTATTTTATGGGTTGGTTGTCCTGTAAATAATCTCAACTACAGTTCATGTGAATGTTACCCATTTCAAAGGTGAATAAACCCAGGCTCTTTGTTTTACTGTCCCTATGCTCCATTTGCCAAAATTCCTAGCTGGCCCCTGACTCTGTCGAAGCCATAGCTCTTAGAAGGTAGGATATAGGTGGTGAGAACCTCGGGCTCCCTGAATGCACCATCAGTGTAACTATTATTCACTGAAAAGTCCAAAAATCAAAAACCAATGCAAACGACGCAAGTGGGTTAAAGTCATGTAGATGTTCAACACTACTTAGTTCCCCCACATAGAAGGACGATTAGCTTAGACACCTACATGGTGCACTGACATGCTGCAGTTTTTAAGGCACCCTTTAAAAAAACAAAACCGCACTGTTGGCAAGTCCCCAATAGTTACAACACAGGCACAGCCAGAGCACAGCCAGGGCTCCCGATGGCTTTCAAGGCTTGCACAGTCACCCTCCAACAGAGCACGCCGGTGGGACAACTGTTTCCTGCTTTGGCCACACTCTCAGTTTTGTCCATAAGGCAAAGTTCTTACAGGTTGCAGTTAAATTTTGGGGGGCATCAGTTTGACATTACTTCCTGCCTGTTACTTGTAGTGGGTTGTCGCTCGCCTTACACTTAGTCCATTGCTGATCAACCCAGCTTCGTGTTCGCATGCAGTAGACATGTCGTAGCATGGTGTGTATCGATGGACGGTGCCTTCAATGGCAACACTCCTCTGAAGAGGTGGCCATTGCCCCCTAGGCTAAAAGTGTTGCTTGTCAAAATAGATAAGGGGTGGGCAAATATATGAGAGTGCTCAAGCTTTTCATAGTAGTAGACCAGGTCCGCTGGTTAGTGGTGGAGAGCTGAGATTGTTTCCGAGTGCCCTGTTCTCATCATGAAGTGGTGCTGTCGGTGGTAGGCTGTGTTGGTGTTCCTGGCTCTTCACCCCTCTCGGTAAGAGGGTCTCACCCCACTGCTCATGGCCGTGGCCTTGCAGCGGTGCCCCTGTGCAGGCTGGGATGCTGCCCCACTGAGTCAGGTTCGGCCCCCCAACTTGGCGGCCTGAGGAGCAGCGGTGGGAGGGAATGGGTTCCAGCAAAAGCTGTGAGGGCACCACGAGTTTCTGACAGCCCTCTTGCTCTTCCCGTCGGCCACAAGAACAGCAGTCCCAGGCTGGTGCTGCACCTTCAGTGGGTCTCAGCACGAGAAAGCCTACAGCTTGGAACAGACCTGCAAAGCTGACCTGTGACCACTATGTAATGTGACCCAGAAATCATTATTTCCTCAATACACTACAGTCTGCTAATTGTGTCTCCATGGGCTACAGAGATTTGAGGATGTTTGGTTTTGCAGCTAAAGCAATTAATGTAGCTGATTATAATTATACTGGTTCAATGGCCAGAATCAGATTTAGCAATTCAACACATTTTTGGTTTTCTAGATGACACTGGATTGTGGTTGATTAGGTTACTGTTTGAAATAGTCACATCCTCCCCCTCATGTCCGCTGGGTGAAAATACTTCCTGGCTCCATTGATTTGGGGTGTGTCCATGTCATTTGCTTTGTTCTCATGGTGGGTAGAGTGTTTGTCCTGCCCTTTGACCCTGGGCTTGGCCATGTGAATTGCTCTGGCCGGTGGTAGGGTTACCAGAGGTGGTGCAGTAGAGTCTTGAAATATGCTTGTGTGGTTGGGCTTTATCTCTGCGCTTCATCCATCCCCATGAGAAGAATATTCCCAGGCTCACCAACTGGCCCCAGAGGAGTCTCAGTGGCATTTGGAGTGAGCTGTTCTAGCAAAGCTTCCCCAAACCCAGATCAGCCGTCTCCCAGCCAACCCACAAACATGTGAGCTAAATGAGTGCTTAGTATTTTATGCCACTAAGATTGGTGGTTGTTATGCAGCATTATTTAACTGACTGATACGCTGACTAAATAGTGTATTGTCACATACTGACCAAGATTATACAACTACATAGGTAGTAATATGGCAGTGGCTTTTGTTTTACTTTTTTTTTTTAAAGGATTTTTAAGTCCCTTATCCTCAAGATCCCTCTTCTTTCCCTACTCCTCCATTTTATGTCTTTGTATGGGATATGGTCATGGCAAATAGTATGTTACAACTCTAGTTAACGGAGCCTCTAAATGGCACAACTGAATGTATCCATATTTGTTAGTGATTTGTTATGTTTTTTTGGCCCAACAAACCTATAAGAGACAACTGTAATTTATTTATCTTTATGGTATGCCTATGTGGCCCATTGTTGACAGCTAATCTACAGCTATTGAAATGTAAGTAACAGAGGTTACATCAACACTCATTAGGCATGAACATGCTCATGAGCAGTTCCCTGGATGGCAAGTTCAGGTGACATCAAGGAACTGAAATTTCAGTTTTCTGATCCCAAAGGGGTCATTGTCAATATAAATGATCCCACCTTTGATATATTTCCAAAATAGAAGAGATTAAAATCTCATTAGAAAGTGCCAGGCTAATTTTTATATGACCTTAGTGACCAGAGAGACTTCCAACTTTCATAGCTGGCATTTTTTCTCTATTTTAATGAACTATCACACAAACACCCAATTTTTTTGCAAAGAGGGACTTTCCAGTTTTGGGAATGTCTGTTTCTGACATTTCCTCTCAAATGGGAATTTTTAGGAATAATTTTTATTCTCCCCAAAGAGGAACCACATCATGATTCTGGCTGCCACTAAGCCCATCAGGGTTGTATCCAATCGTGCAGTCTTTGTTAATTGTTAACTGTTTTATTCTTCTCTGAGACTTGGGACTTGAACACTCTCTGCATGGAATTCACTTCAAATGAGCCAAAGAAAGTGGTTTAGGTCCAGGCAATGCCCCAGGGGGCCTCCAGTCCAGTGCTCATGTCAAGAGAGGGGAAAGGGTGAGTCTAGAAAATAGTAAAAGATATTGGAAAGAAAGTCCCTGGAAACTCATACAACACTTTCCCTTAACAGAGGTCAATCTTCATTCTTTGCCTTCACACAGAATAAATGATGCTGGTTCATTAAAGATGACACTTGAAAATGAT